GAGTGAAGTATGGAAATATTGACCGTATAATTCACACAATTATTTTCTGTGCTATTTTATTTTATATGTACACATAATTATTGTTTGTGCATTCTTTCTTATATGTCATGCAAAATTTATAGGAACGAGTTCTTTCTCATTTAATCATTTTTCCTTAATTTATCATGTAAATACCAGACAAATAAATATGCTAATAAGTTGCATAATGAAATAATAAATGTTGTAGAGAATATTGGAGCTAATTGGTGTTACCATTAACTTAACAACAACAATCGTAGTAGCAGCACTACTGAAGAACATGGAATAAGATGAATAAATTGCGTAATATGGATAATTAATTATTGTAATTATCGTAAGCCTCCATCACTATGCAATATAATGATTTATTTATTTGTAATGAATTCTTCAGTTCATTATATCTTTTCGTATCTAATTTCAAACTATTTCTACCAGAGGTAATAGAAGAAAAAGATGAGAAAGGGAACTATTTTCTTAAGAAGACAACATGGCGACAAAAAATTTTGCTAAAAAAAGAAAAATATTTCTAAAAAAGAATAAATTTCGAAGTTCATTGAATTTAAAAAACAAAACAATTTATCAATTTTTGTTAAAATTTCAATCATTTCGCGAGAAAATTGTTTCATTCATTTTTTCAAATTTCTAAAATTAATTAATAATTAGTGTTGTTTTCTTTTCCCTAATTTCCTTTAAAGAGATGATGCTTGAAAATTTATGCAAATTTTATTCCATATCAAGTTTTATTAAGGAAATAATCGCGCAATACATTTAACGCAATATTATAATATGTTATAGCAATAAAAAGCAAGGTTGACAGTGATACCATTTATATGTTATTCGAAATAGTGTACAGATATAACTGAAGTAACCTGTAGATCTAGAAAGTTACAGTAATCATTTTGTTAAAGTATTGGACGTAACATGAATAATTTAGCATGAAATTCAAGAAACAAATCTCAACTATTGCCATCTCAAAAAAACTCGAAAAAACTTTGCTAGAGTTGACACTGATGACAACATTAGGTTACAGTACACACTCACTTCAAACATCAAAAAATAAAATATTAATATTCAAAAAATATAAGAAAAATATTTAAAACAAATAACTACAGTACCAAAATTAAAACAATTTCAACAAAATGTTTAAAGAATTTAACAACTCATCGCAACCTACAAATGAACTTTTAGAAACAGAAATATCAGAACAAAAAGTACGAAAATTAAATTGAAATCTGGAAATGATTGTAACTTCGAATAATTATGTCGTCATTATGTGATGAAAGTTTTAAAACCTATTTCTTATTCCAAACAAAATACATATAGAGCTAAAAAATTACAGATGAAATTGTTTTGTAATTTTTTAGCTCTAAATGTTGGAATAAGAAATTACAGATGCGCAAGTGGTCATGTCAAATAAGTTTCGCGGTAATAATACTTTTTTCTTTTTTCTTTCCTTCAGTTTTTTTCTCTTTCTTTCAGTTCATCTTTTTTTTACTTCATTTTTCATTTTTTTGATTTTATTTTGTTTCTTACTTTTTAATGTTTCTAATTTTTTATTCAATTATTTTTCAAAATTTCTCCTAACAATGAACTATGAAACTGTGCAAACAAATAAACAAACAAAAGAGGAAAGCATTAGTCAAAAATATTAAAAAAAAAATTCAAAAAAGAATGGATCGTTTCTTTTCGTCATTTCAAGTCTTACCTTTCATTTCAAAATGTCTTTCAATCTAGATCGCTCCTTAGACCAAGTCATCTAGTGAGATATGTTTGATTCTTCTGTACTGTTCCATTTAGTTCTATCATTGTCGAATTGGATTTTTCGGTGACGAAATTAATGTGTCGCATAGCTTGCAAATGAGACCAATTTAGAATACTCGAGCAGATTCTTGGCACCTTTTTCAAATTGCTACCAAAATCCATTCCTTTTCTTCTTAATTTATGAAAAATTAATGCCTTTTCAGAAATTCTGAAACATGCAACATGTAAACGACGAAACTTTTGCTTACCAACCTTTCATTATGCCAGTGTTTTTACACGTGCGTCTGATTTGTGACGTTATCGTATATTTATCTATTCTTTTCCCACCATAAAAGAAGAGTGTAAGAGTTGACGTGTGTTTCATAATAGAGTTAACTCCCTGTAAACTTTTACTAAATCAAAATTTATTTCAATTAAACTTCTATTCATTTTCATTTCACTTTATCCTCCCGAAATCGACAGAAGTCGCCTTGGGGTAATAACAGCACGTCACATTCGGTGAAGACTTAAATTGAAGAAAGTGATTTTTCAATTTTTCAAATTAATTAAATTCTGCCCGTTTTACTCCAATTTTGTATCACTTAATAACTTCCTTTGTCATTTTAATAACATTGTCACTCAGTGTGATATGTCAAATTTTGTATGATGTAACCATGCGTGAGTTCAACTGATAAGACTATTATCACTTCTGACTTGAGTATATTAAGCTTATTTCGTTAGGAGAAGATTATAATTTATTAATATTGCTGTAAGTTGCTTAAAATTATGTGATTTCAATTTATTTTATAACTCTAAGCAATTATTATTTTCCGTTATCTTTTCAACGAATCATTTTATTGCTAAGTGTAAAGAAATTGTCATCAGCACAAGGTGACAATGAGCAGAAAACGATGCGCTTTTGTCTGCTTGTTTCTTACTGTATACAGTAAGCTGTTCTTCACATAATACTTTTGATATTGCATTTATATTAGTTTCACGTGCTATATATCAGTTGCCATTTTTGCATGCAAGCATGCCAACTGCAAAGGGAAATGGTCACATTTTAAACAACTTTTATTTGCATAAAATGATTGAAGCACTTTTAAAGAGCATATTAAATTACGTTAGGTTGTTTCCTGTTGGCTTGAATGGGACTCCCCGGGAGTTTTAGAATGAATTAGGTAGGATATGATATCGGACCATTCTTTGTTCTCGCTGAGGAATTCCAAAGTATCTGATATGATTGCCCCGGTAAGATATAATTGCTTATAGAATATTAAGATTAAAATTATCAGAAACTATTAAAATTCACTTTCAGTAGTAATATATTGAATATTTCGAAAGCAATCTGTGCCTTCTATGCCATCACAGATAGCAACGAAAAAACTGTGAAGAATGAAATCTTTACTGATATGATATGGTTAAGACATGATTATCTTTGTTGATATGATGTGGTTTTCCATATGATCGTATAAAATTTCGAGTTGTTTAATTCTAAATTTCAATTAATCTCTAAATTTTTACAAACATTCCAATGAAATTATTTGCAGTTTTCGGTTGAATCATTGAAGATATCTTAGGATTGAAAAGGTTTCTTTAGTAATAAATATCCTTCAGATTCGCGCCATATTGAAGGAAATGCTATTATGGAATTTGTAAAATCTCTTCAGTAGTAAATACCCCAAACATTACAGACTTCTATGAACATCTTATCAGTTGCCATTTTTTCTTTCTTGTTTCTGTGCCAATTTGAAATGTTTATCAAGAAATAATCGCTTAAAAATGTAAAAAATAATTATATTTTTGAACTTCTCAAAGAAATAACATAAGGAATGAAGTAGAAAAATCTAAATTCAATAGAAACTTTGCAAATTCTTAGGTTTATAGTCAAATTATGCAAATGTGTTCATTTGAAGTACAAAAACGATTTTGAAATCGATTTTTCTTCTTTCTTTTCTATCGAACATTTCAACATTTTCATCTATACCAATCATCCCTTTTAATGTAATTAATCCAAAAAAAGTAGATGGGAATCAAGAAAAGAATGTAATTCTGAAATTGTTTAGCTAGAAAGTCTCATGTCTTATTTTGGCTTAAACTAGATGTGAAAAGACATCCAATCTGAACATTCGGCATTTTCATATTGCTGCTGACCTCCTCATATTGACCGTGCTTACTTATCTTCCAGCGCTATAATATCATTTATTCGAGCAGTGTTTCTGGTACACCAGTGATGATTTAAACGCGTTGTATAACACTGTAGTATCTTACAACGCGATAACATGACGCTGACGATCCTCTGCTTATGGCACTTGACATTGCTGCTGACCTCTTATTATTGACCGATTCTGCCAATGGAAAATTGTTGCTGGGTCATACTATGTGTAGCACTGCCCATCGGTGTGACCATACCTAAAATTGAGCGTTTCTGCATTTTTTGGTGGCAATTTTTTTTCGTAAAGTTGATTGTTTTATCTCTTTAATTAAGATTAGTTCATTTAATTCATGCTTAACTTATTTAACCTTAAGTTGGCTTGTTTGATTACCTGTTATTTGTTTTTTTAGCTGGTCAGAAAGTCAGAAAATCTTGATAACTTGTTCAGAGTGTTCAGAGTGAACTGCATTACAGTGTTATCGATAGGAATTCAAATCGATTTTGCTGCATCACCCGAATCCGGATTTGCTTAAAACGTTGCATATTTGCATATTTATCTGTAGGCCTGTGTTTAATTATGAAATTTCTGCCTTCTTCAAATTTACAAAACCTTCAGTTTTTATCAGCAGTTTTATTGATTTACTTTAAGTATTGCATTTATTTTTTCTTCGTTTCAAAGTTTGATTTTCACCGCAAAGTTTCTGCGAATAAGTGATTTGGAACTCTTCAGAGAGTTGGATTTTCGATTTGACATCAAATATTTCAAATAGATGTCTCGTCAGAAACCTCGCTGTACCATATGCTTTTTGTTTATTTCTTTCGAAAAACTTTCAGCTCTTTGCTGTGGACACACATTTCATTTTCAGTGTATTCGAAAATGGCTGAAAGTAAGTTCATTATCATTTGCTTATATTTTAAGGATATCTGGAATATTCCTCTCAGTTAGTCATACTTTATTCTTTTCTCTGATAATTCCCTTACTTTTATCTTTTATCTCTATGAGCTAAGTGCAAAATTCTTCCAGAAAATACTGATATGTGCAGTAATTGGACCATTCATTCAATAGTTATATAATTGTTAGTCTTTAATAAATTATTTTCCACGAAATTGCACAATATTTCTTTTAATTTCCAGAATCGAATGGAATGTCCAGTGTGTCGGAAAAAGTTAAAAGACGAAGACTGGATAAAGTTCTTGTCATTTAATTTCAGACAGAAACAACTTATGAAAAACAATCCTGAGCTGGTAATGTTCCAAGTAATTTTCCTCTTTCTTATGAAGATAAAACCGAAGGACATGAAATGTTATATCATTTCAAATGAGTTAACTTTTCTTAAGAGGTCTTTGCATATCATTTGGTCCTTTCCAATTTCATATCCTCTTAAATCACGTGAACATGAAATTTACATTTTCAGCATCGCATTCTTCAACAGTTGAATATATACGAACGAAAAAATGAGAATGGGAAAATAAAACGAGAGATGTATTGCACCGTTTGCATGAAGCGCCTTCATTTCACCAATATTGCTGCATTGCGCTGCTGTCATACTTTTCATCTTTCATGTATTTCGCAACACGTCAAAGTGAGTTTTGGATAATAGCTGTATTTAAATTAGAAATTTGAACCATTCAATCAAAAAAAGGCTTGGCCTAAATGGATTGACTGCAATTTAATACCCTAATTAGTATGACGGAATAAAGGTGATGAAAGCAGTATGGTCACTGCAGAATTTCTACCTTTGATTAATAATGGAATTCAAATCAAAGTCATTCGTACAAAATCATTTGCGAAAATATCAAACGAGATATCATTCTTATCATTTTTAACAACAAGAACTCTCTTTGTCGCCTTCTTTTAACAATAGTATTTTTGTTTCATTAATTCAATCGGTAAAAATGGACTGTTATTCAACCCTATCTTTTGTCCGGCAATATTTAATCTATGAAAATCTTATTTTAAATAAAAAAATCTTTCTTTTCACGGATTTATGTCAAATTTGCAGAATGATGGGAAATGTCCAGTTTGTTATAAGAAAGCTGAAGAAGACAGTATCATTCCACGTCTATTTTTTGAGATTGACAAAGAAGATGACAATAATTTCAGCATTAGTTACGCACAGTTGCGACAATACATTGCATCGCGTTCTTGGCACCATTGGAAGGGGTAATAGTCATTTACTTGAAATTCCTTAAAATTGCATTGGCTAACTTGGTAATTAGAAAAGAAAGTATAGTAATGTAGAGAGTAGGAAAATATTGGTCAAAAAATTGACAGTCATGTACAGCTTATAATTTTCCATCTTCAAATCATAGAAGCATCAGTGGAGGGCAATATAATTCGCTTTGATAATTCCGCATTGATTTTATATTGGAACTAGCTTGATTGTTATTAACTTTCACCTCCTCGATTGTCAAAATTGATCGATAAATCTAAAAATCATAAAAATCTATCTTATTATTTTCTGTTAGTTTGTAAGCAACATTTGAAATTCCTGTTTAGTTGACAATAATCCATTTTGTTTTTCTTTTTAGGGTGACAGTTTACCCAAACGAATTTGCAATAACCAAATTTCCAGATCTCTTCCACTTTTTTTTTCAGAAAAAACATGGAATTTATTACAGTCGCCCCGGACATTCGCCCGCGGTATTTATCAATGAAGAGGAGTGAAGTTTGTAAATTCGGCCGCTTTTTCTCAAGTTTTTTATAATCCTTTTTATAGCTAATTGGTAACATGT